TGAGGGGTCACAGGAAGCATCCCTGTTGGATGAGGGGTCACAGGGCACGCACCTGTCGTGGGGTGCAGAAATCCCTCCACATGTCGGTGAGTCTGCAGAACATGCTGTAGGGCCCCATCTTGGCGACCTTCCGCAGCTGCCCGTAGACAGAGAGCTCGGCGTACGTCATCCCCATGTCATCCTGCGGAGGAGATGACATGTCATGGGGGGACGGCCTGTCAGGGCTGGGCGAGGGCCTGAGAACTGAGGCAGGGACCCCATGGAAGGGCCACATTCCCAGAGAGCCTGGCGTGGATGCTGAGGGTCCCCGCGAGCTCAGGGATAATGTGGGGATCTCCAGGATGTGTGGGGTGCACAGGTCACTGTACTGTGGACAGTTGCTGGCCACGCGACAGCAGGGTGAAGACGTCTGACACAGTGTGAGAACCACCGGCAGTGACACAGACACCATGTAAGCACATGCTGCACAACCACAGCCAGGCGCTTGATTGACGAGAACAGTGCAAACCTCCTCGCTGTAAAGGGTCCACACTTGACATCAAGACAAAGCAAAGTGCAAAACCCAACAGGAGGTCAGCCTGCACTTCTGCAAATGGACTGGCCACTGGGGGCCTTCTGAGCAAAAGCAAAGAACCAGACAGTTTGGAGGACTGGAGTGGGTAGGGCCATGGCCTCCGAAAGGAGAGGCTCAGGGCCTCGCCGACACCCGTGAGGGAGTGAGCTCACAGGCTCAGGATCAGGAGGTGGGCCTGGAGTCAGTGACTGGTGTCCTGACGAGAGAGGACGCGGGGATCCTGGACACAGAGGGAAGATGCCGGGCAATGATGGAGGCAGAGACCCGGGAGGTGCATCCACAGCCAAGGGATACCTGGGCCCCAGGACCGGGAAGAGGTCAGGAGGAGACAGGGGCCAATAGCAGCCCTTCTCAAGTCAGCTACATGGGACCGAGGACAGGCCTCTTTGGAAACGGAGTCTTCACAGAAGCCATCAGTGACTAGGGGGTCATACTGGAGTTGCTGTTAGGTTCTGTCGAGTTGAGTATGACTCGTAGCTACCCTATGAATGACCGGAACACCACCCTGTCCCATGCCGTCACATCATCTCTGACCACCTGAGCCCATGGCTGCAGTCACCGTGTCAGTCTGTCTCATTGAGGTCTTCTTCTCTTTCATCTATGCTCTATTCTCCAAGCATGATGCTCCTCTCCAAGGAATAACCTCTCCCGGCGACATGCACAAAGTGAGTGAGATGAACAAGGAACACTCTGCCTGCACCCTCTCCAAGACCTAGCTGTTTGTTCTGTTTGCAGTCCATGGGATGTTCAGTATCCTTTTCCAACACCGCAATGCAAAGGCATCAGTTCCTCTTCTATCATCCATCCCTACTCACTGTCCAGCTCTCAGATGCACAGCAGGTGACTGGAATGACCATGGCTTGAATCAGGTGCACCCTTGGTCTTTAAATGGGCATCATTCCTCTTCAGGACTTTGGAGAGGTCCCTGACAGCAGACTCTCCCTATGCCATGTCTTCTGATTTTCTGACTGCTGTTACGAAGGGTTTTGATTGTGGAACCCAGTGTGATAAAATCGTTGACAATTTCAGTTTTTTCTCCATCTATCATGATGCTGCCTATTGACGCAGTTATGAGGATTTTTGTGTTCTTGATGTTGAGATGTAATCTACAGTGAAGGCTGCAGTCCTTGATCTTCTGCAGCAAATGTTTCAAGGCCTCCTTATCACCAGCGAGTGAGGCTGTGTTGTTTGCATAACACTGGTAGTTAATGAGTCTTTCTTCAAATCTGTTCTCACATTCTTCTTCATAAACTTCAACTCTTTGAATGTTTTGCTCTGCATACAGATTGAAAAGATATGGAGAAAGAATACAGCCCTGACACATACTTTTCTTAACTTTAAATCGTGCATTATTTAGGATTTAAACATTGCTCTGTCCAGACAACAGCCTCTCAGTCTAGGTCTACGTTCCGCATGAGCACAGTTAAGTGTTCTGGGATTCCCTTTGTTCTCAATGTTAGCCAGAGTTTGTTATGATCTGCATAGTCAAATGCCTTTGCATTCGCCAATAAAACACAAATATACATCCTCCTGATGTTTCCTGCTTTCGGCCAAGATCCGCCTGACATCAGTAAGTAAAGATCCCTTGTGCCATGGCCACTTCTGAATCTAGCTTGAATTTCTCTGTTGACGTACTGTTCTAGCTGTTTTTCGGATAATCTTCAGTAAGATTTTTCTTGTGTGTTATATTAAGGATATTATTCAATAAATTCCACATTCTATAGAACTACCTTTTATGGGGATGGGGTCAAATATTGATCTCTTCCAGTCAGCTGGCCAGGTAGCTGTCCTCTAAAAGTCACGTCACAGCCTTGTAAGGACGTCCAGGGCTGCTTCTGTTGAAACACGTCAGTTGGTATCCTATCAACTCCTAGGGCCTTCCTGTTTGCCAACACCTTCAGTGCTGCCTGAACTTCTTCATTATCTTTGGTTCTTGATCATATATTACCCCTTGAGATGGTTCTGTGTCAGCCAATTCTTTTTGTATAGTGACTCTGTATATTCTGTCTTCTTTTGATGCTTCCTGGATCATTCAAGATTTTACTCATAAAATCCTTCAGTATTTCAACTTGAGGTTTGATTTTTAAAATTTTTTTAATATTATTACTTTTTGTGTGTGTGTACCGTCAAATCGGATCTGACTGTACCGGAGGAAATTGCCCCTCCTTCTCCAGCAGAGCATCTGGTGGATTCAAACTGCATACTTCTGGGGCTGCAGTGCAGCTTTTTGCCACTAGGCCACCAGAGCTCCCTGATTTTTTAAGTTCTTTCAGCTTGAGAAATGCCAAGGGAGTTGTTCCCTTTTTATTTTTTGGCTCCAGGTCTTTGTACACATTTTGTTACAATACTTTGTCTTCCTGAGCTGCCCTTTGAAATCATCCGTTCATCTCCTTTATGTCAGCACTTCTTCCAGCTGTTTTGACATCTCATTGTTCTCGTGCACATCACTTCTGACATCCATTTTAATATTTTCTCTCTCTTCTGTCTTTGTGGTGACCTTTTATTTTCTTGTGAACGATGTCCTTGAAGTCAGCCCACAACTTTCTCTAGTCTTCGATCGTCAGTGCTCCATGCCTCAAGCCTATTCTTGAGATGATTTTTAAATTCAGGTGGGAGAAACTCAAAGTTGTGTTTAGGTTCTTGTGGACTTGTTTTGATCTTCCTCAGCCTCCGTTTGAACCTGCACATGAGTAACTGATGGTCTGTTCCACAGTCAGCACTTGGCCATTGTGAGTCAGACAGTCAGAGGGATTATTACGCCAGGTATTACACATTGAGGAAGAATGTGTCGCATTCACAGTCAGAAAGCCCACTTCAAGACCTATCCTGGAGTGCAGTGCTGTGAATGGTGGGATGCTACCCACACACAGACGAGGAAGACCTGTTCATACAACTACTAGTCAAATATACATACCAACAGTTAGAGCCAAAGAGGAGGGAACTGAAGATTTCTGCCAACCTCTGCAGTCCGAGATAGACTGAACAGGCAGCCAAGATGCATGAATGATAACTGGTGACCGGAATGAAAAAGTTGGAAACGAAGAAGGGCTGGCATGCGGAAATCACAGACTTGGTGACAGAAAGGAAGCTGAAGACAGAACGGCTGAATTGTGTGGGTTTTTTTTATTAATTTTTTAAAATTTATTATTTTTTTTGAATGGCTGAATTTTGTACAAAGATTTATTCATTGCAAATGCCTATTTTGTGACTTTGAGAGCTGGGGCGCCCATTTTGAACTTCTAAAGACCTTTACCTTAAAAACAACAAACAAACAAAAACAATAATAACCCCACAAACCAGCCTCAGTATAGACAGTTTCATTTGTGAAGTCTGCCAAAGATTTATACCATTTTGTTCTAAACTCTTTAAAAAATAGAAGAGGAAGGAAGACTTTGAACTCGATTTATGCAGCCAATATTAATCCTGGAGACAAATTCAATTAATCCAAAATAGGCAAAGACATCAGAAGAACAGCATAGATTGGTATCTCTTATGAATAATAATTTAAAACCAAAATAGAACCAAATCTAATGCTGTCAAGTGTCTACTGGACAGAGTCGAGCTCTGCTGGCCCCGTGGGTCAGGAGTGGGCTGTCCACCCAGCGGCAGGAGGGCCGAGTCTAGCAGCTGATCTGAGAGGACGAGCAGTGTCCTCCTGTACTGTCCGCAGCTCCTGAAACGCGTGCCAGACGGCCAGACGGGCGCTGGTTTCGGTCCAACATCACACAGTATCATAAACAACATAACAAGCCTTTAGGTGCACAGACCCAAGAGGCACTCTTTCAAACAAAACAAAGAGACCCTGCACGGTTTAGAACCAGAAAAGGTGTGTGCCAGGGCTGGGTTCTTTCAGCGAACACATTTAATCAGCACGCTGTGCAAACCATCTGGCAAGCGAGACGACAGAACGCAGCACGGTGAATCAGCACCCGAGGCGCCTCAACCAGACCTGTGATCTGGAGACGGCACAGGCTTGCTTCCCGAAAATGAAGCCCTGAAGATAGGAGTCTACAGAAGAAGACAGAAATCCTCACCACTGGGCCGAGAGGCAACATGGTGATAAACACAGGACAGACCGGCGTTGCCAAGATTTCACTGAGCTGGACCGACAGTCAGCACTTACGGAAGCGGCCGTGAAGGAGCAAAGACTGAAGAAGAAGAATTGGTGAAGAACCCTGAGCAGACCCTGGACGCCAGAGAATAACTAATCCGACTCGGATAGGAGCAGCCAGCGTGCTCCTCGGACGCAAGCGTGGGGAGGACTGGTCTCACGTGCTCTGGTCGCGGTATGGGGGGAGCCAGTGTCTGGAGAAGAGCATCGTTCTTGAGAAAGAAGCAGGTCAGCAGAACTGAGGAGGGCCCTGAGCGAGTGGGGCTGAGGCACAGGCTCCAACAACGGGCCCACACACGGTCCCATGGTGAGGGCAGCCCCGGGGGTCACACTCCGTCCTGCTGCACTCAAACGCTTGTTGACGTTGTTTATTATATTGTGTGACATCGAACTGAAACCAGCTCCTGTCTGCCCCTCCAGTCAGGACAGACCTGAGAACCCCCGATAGTGACAGTCACGGTCTCTGTGGGAGCAGACACCCCATCTTTTCTCCAGTGGGGCTGCCGGTGGCTCCCAATGGTCAACCTTTCCGTTAGCGGCCAAGTGCTTAAACACGGTGCCACCAGGGCCCCTTCTCTTAGGAATGCTGTTGTTGTCTGCCCTCAAGTTGGAACCGGACCCTCGCTGACCCTCCCCAGCAGGTCTCCGGTGGCAGTAAATTATACAGGAAGAGATTGCCCATCTTGCCATGGAGCAACTAGGGGGTTCGAACACTGTGCCCTTGGTGTTGCGGTGCAGTTTCTTACCAGTAGACCACCTAAATACAATTAGCAAAGGACTTGAGAAGCAGAAGTAGAGAGGCATCATCCAATTATCCTGAGCCTCGACCAAGTGGAATTCTTCCCTGATCAGCGCAGAAAAGGCTTCTGGCAAAATCCAACAGTCTTTCAAGAGAAAAACATTCCAGAGACAGGACCAGAGGGGAACTTCCCCCGAGGGGGAACAGGCGTCCAGGAAATGCCAAGGTGACTTGTATGTAGTGGGGGATGAAGGCGTGACTCCGTGTAGCCCAGGAACAAGTTTGAAGGTGTCCGCTCTGGATACCAGGATGGGTGGAGAGGGGCCGGGGAGGGACCCTGCGAGTGACAGAGGCAGGCAGAGCAGAAAAACCCTCACAACAGGCCACACCAATACCTCATCGGTCTGGGACACTTGTCCGTCAGTCAAGGGCTCCAACTCAGCTGTGGCCGGGGCAGCAAGGATGCTGGGACAGAGAGACAGAGATCAGCGGTCACCACCTTTGTGAAAAAGCCCACCCCTGACATCCCTGGGACGCCGGCTGTGTCCAGGCTGGGTCTGACATATCAGCAAGGCCACCTGTCCAGACCCAGCCTCCGCAGCAAGAACGAGGGGGCTCCTTGGGAGCTATTTCAGAAAGGTCCTGGCTGCAGAGCGCCCCCAGCATGAGCAGGGCAGCGCGCTTAGGACCCAACACTGCTGGGAACAAGGGGCACCCTGGGTAGTGCAGGGCTTGGGATGGGACCCGTGGCCTCCACCCAGATGCTGGTGGTGCCCTCACCATGACTAACAGCATCCCATGGGCACTGCTGCTGGTCCTGTCAAAGCCACACCCACTGCTGTGGAGTTGAATCTGATTGGCAGATGACTCCCCAGTAGGTTCTCAGAGGCCAGATGTAAATGGCCCAGGGAATTAACCATCTCTCTCCCACAGAGCAGCTGGTGGATTTGAACCACTGGAGACACTGCAGCTCCCTATGGACCACGCTGCCAGGGCTCCCTGGTCTTGGTGGGGAGGGCACAAAACCAGCAGTCCACAGGCTGAGACCAGTAAAGGCCACCCCCACACAGGGGCGTTGGAGAGCTGGGGTGGACTATCCCTCAGGTGTGATTTCACACCCTGCGCTCACTAACTTAGAGCCTTTGACAGCCAGAAGGTTCGAGAAGGGCAGTAAGGGGGAGGGGGACCTCGTGCAGTAGGGCTGGTGCAGCAGAGGGGACTGAGGGGATGCCCAGGGACCCCGCAGCAGGCAGCAGCACAGGCCTTGCTTGGCCAGGTCACAGGGTCACAGAAGTGGCTGGGCCAGCAAGGGCGTTCTGCAGGCGCAGGGCCCCGCGCTGTGTCCAGCACTCGCTCACCTGTGCAGAGCGGGCAGCTGGAAGCGCTCCACGCAGAGCTGGACAAAGGCTCGCAGGTCCGTCTTGCTGATGCCGCCAATGGGGTTGATGTCCGCACTGGAGCAGTCATACTTGGTCAGGTAGCCAAGGAGGCTGAGAAGGAGAGAGGGACAGACAGACAGAGGCACAGTGGAGAGACCATGACAGAAAGAGAGAGGAGAGAGCCAGAGAGGGGTGAGAGAGACAGATGGAGGGAGACAGAGACAGAGAGAGGATGGAGGCATGGAGAGGAGAGAGACACAGAGAGGAGAGAGACAGAGAGGGGAAGGAGAGATAGGAGAGACAGGGGTGAGAGAGACAGAGATGGAGGGAGACAGAGACAGAGAGCAAGAAGGCATAGAGAGGCGAGAAATAGAGAGGAGAGTTACAGAGAGGGGAGGGAGACAGAGATGGAGGGAGACAGAGAGGGGAGAGAGACAGAGGAGAGAGACAAAGAGGGGAGAGAGACAAGAGAGGGGAGAGAGAGAAGAGAGGGGAGAGAGACAGATAAGAGGGAGAGAAACAAAACACACGTTCAGCATGCCTTTTCTCTGCTCATGGGAGCCTGTGGTCCCCTCATGTTCATCATGGGGAGCAGGCTCCCTCCAGGAGCAGAGTCAGGGGTCTCAGGGGACCCCCTGTGTGTGCAGCAAACAAGGGAGGGACAGGGGGTCAGGTACCACAGGAGCAGGTGCCAGGAACAATGCGTGCACCTTAGTGAGCCTGAAAGGTGAGGCATGGGGGCACCAGCATTGGCTGGCTGAGGACAAGGTGGGACCCCTGCAAGGAGCATGCCGGGCCTGACAGTGAGGGTCACCTCTTCACAGCTACCATCTCTGCTTCCTCATGCCTCCTGTGGTCAACGAAGGAACGTCTAACGACCTCTGTGTCTTTGTCTCCTGTGATACGTGACCAGGAATGGCAAGACAGCCAGGGGTGGCTCAGCGGCAAAACTCTCACCTTCCACGTGGGAGACCAGGGTTCAAGACCCAGATCGTGCACTTTGCACACAGCCATCACCTGACTGCCCGCCGTGGAGGCTGTACTTCTGTGACGCTGAACAGTTTCCAGCTGAGCTTCCTGACAGAGACTAGGAAGAAAGGCCTGGCAACTGACTCCAAACATTGGCCCAGGAAAACCCTCTGGGCCCTGACAGTGTGACCTACAGCCAGTCACGGTGCCAGTACAGGGCCGATGTGTGGAGCTGGGCCTGCACAAAGAGGGGGCCAGCTGTACGGCCACTCACATCCACAGCAGCAGCCTGGCCTCTGGCCTTTACAGTGAAGGCCACAGCACAGATTTCAGCTGACAGGGAATGACCATCGATGGGCCTGGTGTCACTGCAGGGGCCCTTAGAAGGGGAGGGAAGAGGTCAGTGGTAGAAAGAAGAGACAGGGCCAGGGAGTGGTGGCCACTCACATGCTGTCTTGAAGGTGGAGGGAGCGTCACCAGTTGAGGGAGGCAGTGGCCTCTGGAAGCTGGACAAGGTGAGGGAATGGACTCTCCCTGAACCTCTGGGGGGATCTAGCCCTTCCTGACACTGATGCCAGCCCAGAAGACTGAGCTGGACTTCCGCCCTGGTGTTGGGGCCCATGAGTGTGTTTAAGCCTCCAGGACCATGGTCCCTGTTACAGCAGCCACAGGAAGCCACATGCCTTCTTGGTGGATCGTGTCCCGTCACCCCACAGGCCGATAACCCTAGCCCAGGCCCGCAGAGACTGCCCAGCCCTGTCCACTCCTCAAAACAGCCTGCTTCGGCCCCTCTCTGAAACAAACCCCAGCTGACTGGCCAGAGATACACCTGAGCTAGAAGTCCGGCCAGCTCCAGCTTCTCTGGTCCTCACTCACTGACTTATCTATCCCATTTCAAGGAAAGACCTGCCTCTGCCCATCTTACTAAGAGGCATATGGGCCTCAGTTTCTCCTGTTTGGTGAGTTGATGATACAACTACATTATGCTTAACCAGAAGGCTGGCGGTGTGAACCCACGGGACAAAGGCCTGGTGACCGGCTCCTGGGAGAACATGACCAAGACAGCATCATGTCTGTGGTACCACGTGGGCCACTAGGAGCTGCTGACGTGATGGCAACGGGGTGCGTTTCGTTTGGGCCCCACCTTGCTGCAAGTGTGTGGGTGATGCTATGTCTCCTCAGTGGGCCTCAAGCCCTCCATCAATGGACGCCCCGATAGTGTGGCTCTCAGAGGTGGGGCGCCCAGCACACACCTCTCATCCACGTTGGCAGATCCAAGCACAAGGAGGCTCCCATGTGCGCCCCGGGACCAAGGGCTGAGCTGAGCGAACAGGTAGGCAAGCACCATCCTGACCCGAGCCTGCAGCACCAGGGAGAGAGGGCCTGACAGGGTGTGGCCAGCGTGCCAGCCGCCCAAGGGGAGGCCCCCAGAAGCCTGACAGGGCTATAGCCAGTGTGCTGGCTGCCCAAGGGGTGGCCCCCCGAGGCTTAGAGGACAGGCAGTATGGGACTCCTGGGCACTCAAAAGAATGAGGGTCCAGTGCTGGGGCTTTGGAGACCCCCAGAAAGCTCAGCGGACCCTGAACTTCAAGGTCAAGGAAAGGGGCTGGGGAAGAGGGTGAGAAGACACCTTGGCCACCCCATCCCACTCAGGTGACCATGGCTTCCTCGTGGGGGAGAAAGACCACCTACATGGCAGGGGGCCCAAGATGGGCAGGAGAGCTGGACAGTGGACACAGCGGTGAGCCTGTGTCACGCCTACTGCTCAAGACACATGAGAGTGTACACACACACATTCACATGTACGTGCATACACTATGTGTGTGTGCACACACCTTCCCCACACTCACATGTAGACACACACATTCACGTGTCCCCACATATATGCATGTCCGCACTCCTCTCTCTCACACACACACCTCTCTCCACCCACATGAACACACATGCACATCCACACCCGCTGCACATGCACACCTGTACACACCCACATTCACACCCCACATGTACACACCTGTACACACCCACATCCACACCCCACATATACACACCTGTACATAACCCCACATCCACACCCACTGCACATGCACACCTGTACACACCCACATCCACACC